TATTTGCCTTTTATCTCTTGTAATATGTTCACCTTTGTATTATTTCCCTTTTTAGTACATTTGCCTTTTATTTCTTGTGATATATTCACTTTTGCATTTAATAAATGCAGAGATTCTACGCCCTGAAACACCTGTCTACTGCCTTCTTCAATTCACATTCCTAAATTAAGTTCAAGGTCAGAACCAGGGGTCTGGGGGTGATCCAAACCACCTAAAAATCAGCAGTTTTACTGATCGCAAAGCAGAATCCCTACAGTAGATACTTATACTTCTATAAACTCACTTTTGGCAAGGTTTATCACTAAATCCATTGATTATAATTTTCTAAATTAAGTTTCTAATTTCAAGGGATCATTCATTGTGACACTGTTAGCCAGCATATCATCAAGGTGGACCACACTACTGGTTGTCACTTGATTCATTAATTTCTAGAAAGTGACTGAGTTGTTTTTAGTTTGAATGGTATTGCTTAGCACTGTAAAATAGCATTTGGTGTGATAGAGGCTGGTATTTCATAGTTCAGGATGTTAAAGGAATCTGGTAGTCTGTCAATACAGGCTTCCAAATGGGGAACTGAGTAGACATCTGCCTTTGTTACTGCACTGACCTCTCTGTAGCCTATGCAGAATCTGGTTGTACCATTGGACTTTGACATCAATATGACCGGGGAACTCCACTAAATCAAGGATTATGAGAAAAAGACAGAAGACTGGAGTTGAGAAGTATCAGATTAGCCATGACCTCATTGAATGGCAGAGCAGACATGATGGCCAAATGATCTAATACTGTTCCTAAATTTTATGGTCATATGGATCAACTAAGTTTTTTATTTCCCTGTCATGTTTTGGATTTCTGCTTTCAGCTGATCCTATTTGTCTGGATCCAAATGATAAGAACAATGTTTTATAGGAAAGAATTCTCTGACATTCACATCCATTTTGGCTAAAATTGTATGTGCTTTAACATGTTGTTAGAAAATCTTAGAAGCAATGAAGTGTTTAAAGCATCCTTAAAACTTGTTAAAAGCATTGTTAAATTAATTCTCAACCACATTGATTGCTAGACTCACTCATGAAGCCGGTATGGTTGATATAGTGGGTTTCTTTCTAACTGACATGTTAATCTACAGACAGCATTGAAAACCACATGCTGCCAAGGGCTGTGTGACAATTTAACCAAGTGATATTTTACAGGATGAGAAACAGTGCAAACAACTCTGATGAGGTTTTCTGACAAAAAGAGCGACTCATCTTTCTCCTTTGGTGCCGACAAGCATGAAGCTTATTTATGGTACTTCCCTGGTTCTATTTATAGTATCTTCCATTGGTGCTGTCCCTTAAAGCGCTGAAATCTTTTACGGATGACCAAATAACTGCTACTTGCTTCGCAAAACGTTGCTTTAGGGAATATTTTTTAAACAATGATTACGCAGGTATTTAGTTACCTAATGAAATGCCATTATTAATTTTTGTCCAATTACCCTTTTGTAAAGCTCCGTGGGTGTTTTTCTATGTTAGAGATTACAGTTGCTAATTAATCAGAGATTTTATGTAGTGGCTCCTTAAGCAAGCACATTATGCTTTTACGTACTCAATATTTACAGATGATTTGATATCCAGAAGGAAAATACATTTTGGTGTGCAAAATTCACATAACAAGATGTATTCCACTTATACTTTAATATTAGAATGAGCATTGAATAAACTGGTGACTATGAAATCCACTGTCCCTTCAGCTAAGAGGGATATGTCATGCCACATTATACAGATATAAAACTTGTACTGTTTCTTGTCCATCAAAGGTCTTCTATCACTATTCCCAGGAAACTCTCACATTTTTTAAGTCAACCCATTGAACCAGATGTTTGTTAAAACTGAAACTAACAGTTTAGAATGCATACCAAATATTAAGAACACCTTACAAATGAAACAAGTTTCAGTATGCTTGGGATGTGAGTGGTAGTACAAGTCTGTATTTATTGCCCATCCTATTATCCGGAAAGCATTAAGACAAATCTGACACAAAAACATAAAATGATGAAAACATTTAATTGAGCAGATTCAAACATGATGTTGCAGGAGAAGTGGGCAACGATTTAAAAATTAACAATGAAGTCAAGGACTCAGAGAGGAAAGGAAGGTTAAAGATTACAAGGACAGAAGGATCAAAGATTTCTCTATGCTGGAAGTTCTGGAGCATTCACATAGAAAATCAGACATATGACAACAAAGTAGGTAACAAGGACACCCAGTATCAAACTGCTCAACATAGGTACTGTTTACTTGCACCAGGCATGACAAAGGCCATCCAGTTCAATTGGCCCTGTGACATCTCCTTCACTGGGAATGTCTAGAAAACTTCTCCTAAATTGGAACAGCTATCTTACAGAGTAGTCGAGTAACAATCTGATATCATTACAGTCACTGAACCATACCTTACAGCCAATGTCCCAGACTCCATTACCACTATTCCTGCATACTATCCCATAGAGTCTCAACTCTGACTTTGGACCCCACAAGCTATCATGGTGTCAGGTTAAACTCGGAAAGGAAACTTCCTATTAATGATTGCCTACTGCCTGCCCTCAAATGACGAGCTTGCATTCCTCCATGTTTAGCAAGATACGTGAAAAGAGCTTTAAAGGCAGCAAAAGCATAGAATATACTCAGCGTGGTAATCTTAAATGTCTATCACAAGCAGTGGCTCTCTAGCTAATAACTGAGTGAAGTAGCCTGGTCCTACATGATTGACCTGCAGGATTTGGAATGTGACAATTGGAGAGGGTACCAAGGCTAGAGAAACACCTTCTTGACTTTGCTGTCCCAAATATTAGTTGCTGATGCACCTATCAATGGCCATCTTAGCAGGAGTGTCCAGCATAGTGTTCTTGTAGAGATAATACCCCTTCTTTAAAATGATCTCCTATAATATTCTGTCACACTATCACCATCCACAATGGGAAAGATGCAGAATAATTCTAACAGCTCAAACTTGCCATCCATGAGCTGCTGGTGGTTGCTGGTAGAAATGGGAGGATTGTATTTCACCACAATATGCAACTTCTATACCTGATGTAACCATTATCATCAATTCAGGGGCTAATCACGAGGCATGTAGGAAAGTATGCAAGGAGCAGTAAGAAGTTTATCTGAAAATGAGGTGCCAATATAGTAAAACATACCAAAGGACTACAAGCAGGCTAAGCAGTGGAAGCACAATGATATAGACTGAACTAGATGATCCCATAGCCAAAAGGTCAGATCAAAGTTCAGTGGTCCTGCCACATCTGATTGTGAATGGTCATAGACAATTGAACAACAAAGGGGAGGAGGAGACTCCATGAATGTCCTCATCCTATTGTTAGGGGAGTCCAGCACATCAGTGTGTTATGATCCCCATAGATACAAAAAGTGAATTAGTGTCTTAACCCCAGTTAGTTGGCTGGTTAGGAATTAGTCTGGGCTGCAGCCTTCACCGCCATTCTATAGAATCTTGATTGAGGCCAAGCCTTGGCCCAGCAAAAGGTGAAGATTACAATAGAAAGGGCAAAACCGGAGGAGGAGTGTTCCAGACTGGATGTGTGCTTGTCCCGAGCTTGCTCACATCAATGCATGCTGAGCCAAGGAAATACAAGCATATTCCACTTATATCCCTTGATTACTGGAGACACCAAAAATCAGTCTATCCCAGTCTTAAATTTATTCAGTGATGGACCATCCAAAACTTTCTGGAATAGAGAATTCCAAAGATATACAAACCTCAATTTTTCTTCATTTCTGTCCTGAGTGATCGATCTTTTGAGCTGAGACTGTCCCTCCATGTTTTAGATTCCACAGACAGGGGAAACAAATCTCTCAGCATCCACCCTATAAAGCCATTCCAGCACCTTGTATGTTTCCATGATATTGGTTGATTGATTAATTGATTTATTGTCACGTATACTGAAATACAGTGAAAAGCTTTGTCTTCAGTACAGGCAGATCACAGCAAGCAAAGGACATACAGATCAAAAACACTTAGAGGCACACAGGTTACATTACAGGTTACATTATTTGAGGCTAGAACCCATTTGACAGTCTGTTAACGGCCAGAAAGAAGCTGTTCCTGAACCTGCTTGTGCGTGTGTTCAGGCTTCTGTATCTTCTGCCTGACGGAAGAGGTTATAGGAGGTCATTTCCAGGGTACTATGGGTCTCTGATGATGTTGGCCACCTTTCTGCAGCAGCGAGCCATGTAAATAGAGTTCATGGATGGAAGGTTGGCTTCCATGATGGCCTGGGCTGTGCACACCATCTTCTGTAATTTCTTACGATCCTGGGCAGAGCAGTTGCCACACCAGGCCATTATGCACCCAGACAGTATGCTTTCAATGGTACCTCTGCAGAAGTTGGTGAGGGACCTTATGGACATGTCAAACTTCCTGAGTCGCCTGAGGAAGAAGAGGCGTTGTTGTGTCTTCTTGACCATCGCATTTACATAGGCAGTCCAGGACAGGTCATCGGTTGTTGATTGCCTCTCATTCTTCTAAATTTCTAAGAATATAGGCCCAATTTACTCAAATTCTCATCATAGGACAAATCTCTCGCTCCAGGTGCCAAATTAGTGAATCTTTGTTGTAATGCGTCCAGTGCAAATAATCCTTCTTTATATATGGAGACAGAAACTGCACACTTTATTCTAGCTGATCTCACTAAAGCCCTAAACAATTGTGCCAAAACTTCTTTATTCCTGAAATCTAATTCCTTTACGATATAGGCCAAAATGCCATTTGCCTTCCAAATTGCAGACTATGTCTACAGGCTAAATTTCCAAATTCCTTGCACAAATATAATCAAATCTTTCTGAATATTAATATTTACAGCTTTCAAGAAACACTGTTTCAAAAACATTACAACAGATATTTTACATCAAAGAGTCAAGGGTGACAGATTTCAAAAGCAATATTTTTGAAACAATAATGTCTATTGTTTGTTTTACTAAGAAGTACTTTGCTCTCAGCAGTCAGTATTGTGAACCCTCAACGTTGAAAGCCTGTTTTACATCCTGCTTCTGTTCACTGGCAGTGACACAGTTCCATAAACACACTGTTTCATCACCTGCTGCTGAAAACACTACGTTGCCATCAGGACTGGATGCCATATGCAGAACTCTCCCTCTGTGACCTGTAAAAGAGAATACATTAACCATCTTTATTTCACGAGTGAGTTTGATAGATCAGCTCAAATCACAGAACAAAAGACAAAGTGACTTGGTTTGATGTATCTGCATCTCCTTATGGATTTATGTTCACTGGCATCCCAATAGAAATTAAAATAGCTTTGCCTTTGGCTCTCTAGGAACGCTTTAAGTATTATGTTTCAAATTTCTCATGTTCAAAGTAGCAAATGGAGCACAAAATGTTGGAAATATTAGATCCTTGATTATGCTACAAGATGAAACATCAGCCAGAATCTTGTTGAGGTGTTGGAAAGTTGGTGAGAGACTCCGTTGCCTCTTCAGGAAAGGCCTGTTGAACAGGAAGTTCATCAGACATGAGCAAGGCCACCAGCAGGCCTTTGCCTGGAATTAAGATTGAAGGGGAGGAAATCCCATGCAGGCATGTCATACGCAGCAATGCCATACAGGAAGTTGTGCCATTTTTTTGGAACAGCACCCAGGATCACAGATGACTAAGGTGTAAGGTAAGTGATTTGTTGGGGGATGATTTTTAGAGTTGGGGATCATGAGTGAAGGATAGGGAATTCAGACACAAGGGCAGGACATGGCTCTCAATGACAACTCCTTGCCAAATGTCCAGCCTGCCCATCAGACACTGATTGCTTTTGATCAAGGGACTTCAGGCCCATAGCTGACAAGCTGCACTTACAGGTTAACTTGTCAGACACACTGCATGGAGAGAGACCCACTTTTACAGGAGTAAGTCCCAGACACTACGGAGCTGAGGGCCATAACTGGTCCCTAATTAGCCACTTAAGGGCCTCAATTGACTGCTGGGCAGGAAGATAAACCATGAGACTTCCTGTCCCAAAATTAATTTCTGGTGGAGGTGGGAAGGTGGCAAGGTTCAGGTATGATACCACCCCACCTCATTAAGTTGCCTTCCTGCTTCTAAATGCCTCCAGGATAACAAGATTCCACCTAACTTCTCAATATCCCTGCCAGGATCTTTAATAAGACATAGAATTGTGGATGCTGGAAACAAAAACTGAAATTGCGGGAAGAACTCCAGCAAGTGGGCCAGTGTTAGATTAAAAGTGCTGAGGCCTTTGCTCGAGAGGTTTTGGTGTGAGGAGGCTGAGCAGGGGGACAGGTAAGGGCTCTTTAACTCTACTTTCTTTCTGTCTGGACTGAAGGCAGTGGGGATGGCAGTTAGGGCAGTGGCAGGTTCCTCCTGCAGGATGTGGGAGATCAGGGAGACTTCCAGTGTCCCTGGTGGCTACACGTGTGAGAAGTATGTTCCTGTTAGGGTGAAGGGAAAAGCTGGTAGATTTAGGGATCCCTCGCTGACCAGGGATATTGAGGCTCTGGTCAAGAAAAAGAAGAAGGCATACATTGGGTTTAAGCTATCGGACTCAAGTGAATCCTTAGATGACTATAAAAAGTGTAGGAGCACACTTAAGAGGGAAATCAGAAGAACAAAAAGAGGGTATGAGACTGATATGGCAGACAAGGTTAAAGATAATCCCAGGAGGTTTTATAGCTCTATTAAGTGTAAAAGGGTGGCTAGGGAGAGAATAGGTCCCCTTAAAGATCAGCATGGCCGTCTATGTGTGGAGCCACAGCAGAACGGGGAGATTTTTAATGAATATTTCTCCTCAGTGTTTACTGAGGAGACAATCATGGATGTTAAGGAAATAAGTGGAACAAGTGGGGATGTTTTGGACCACATTTACATGACCAGAAAAGAGGTGTTTGCAGGCTTAAAGTGCATTAAAGTGGATAAATTTCCTGGGCCTGATCAAGTCCAGCCTCAGACATTGTGGGAGGCTATGGAAGAAATTGCAGAGGCCCTTGCAGAAATTTTTGCTTCATCTTTAGCCACTGGTGAAGTTCCGGAAGACTGAAAAATGGCTAATGTTGTTCCATTGTTTAGGAAATTTAGCAAAGACAAGCCAGGGACCTACAGGCCAGTGAGCCTGACATCAATGGTAGGCATATTATCAGAGAGAATACGGAGGGACAGGATCAACCAATATTTGGATAGTCATGGTCTGATTAGAGATAGTCAGCATGGATTTGTGCGTGGGAAGTCATGTCTGACAAATCTTCTGGAGTTTTTTTGAAGAGGTAACCAAGAGAATGGATGAGGGTAGAGCAGTGGATGTTGTCTATATGGACTTTAATAAGGCCTTTGACAAGGTCCCGCACAGCAGGCTAGTCATGAAAGTTAGGTCACATGGGATCCAGGGAAAGCTAGCTAATTGGATTCAAAACTGGCTCAATGGCAGGAAGCAGATGGTGATAGTTGAAGGTTGTTTCTCAGATTGGAGGCCTGTGACGAGTGGTGTACCACAAGGGTCGGTGTTGGAACCTTTGTTATTTGTTATTCACACAAATGATCTGGATGTGAATGTACAAGGTATGATTAGTAAGTTTGCGGATGATACAAAATTAGGAGGTACATTGATAGTGAAGAAAGTTATCAAAAATTACAGCGGGATCTTGATCAGATGGGGAAGTGGGCTGAGGATTGGCAATTCAATACAGATAAGGGTGACGTGTTGCATTTTGCAAAGTCAAACCAAGGTAGGACTTATACAGTAAATGGTAAGGTCCTGAGGAGTGTTGTGGAACAGAGGGATCTAGGAGTACAAGTACATAGTTCCTTGAAAGTGACATCTGCGGTCTTCATCGGTTGAGGTATTGAGTATAGGAGTTGTATAAGTCTTTGGTGAGGTCACACTTGGAGTACTGTGTACAGTTTTGGTCACCCTGTTATAGGAAAGACAAAGGTAAACTGGAAAGCATGCAAAGAAGATTTTCCAGGCTGTTGCCAGGACTTGTTAGCCTGAGTTATAAGGAAAGGTTGGCCAGAATAGAACTTTATTCCTTGGAACATAGGAGAATGAGGGGTGACCTTATTGAGGTGTATAAAATCATGAGGGCCATAGATAGGATGAATATATATAATCTTTTTCCCAGGGATGGGGAATTGAAAACTAGAGGGCATAGGTTTAAGGTGACAGGGGCAAGGGTTAACAAGGACCTGAGGGACAATTTCTTCACACAGATGGTGGCACAAATATGGAATGGGTTGCTGGAGAAAGTGGTTGAGGCAGGTAGAAATACAATATTTAAAAAACATTTGGGCAGGTAAATGGATGAGAAGGGTTTAGAGGCATATGGATCAAATGTGTGCAATTGGAACTAGCTGAGAGGACACCATGGTCAGCATGAACCAGTTTGGGCCAAAGGGCCTGTTTCCATGCTGTATGACTCTATGACTTAATAACTCAGCATGTCTGGCAACATCTGTCGAAAGAAAGCAGAGTTAATGTTTCAAGTCCAGTGACTGTTCTTCAGAACATCCCTAAGATCCCTCAGAATCTTCATTAAGATCTGCTCTCCTTCTTCTAAATTCCCATAGGTATTGAACCAACTCAAGGAAACAAGAAGCTGCTGAGCTGAAGGCTGAAACCAAACCACAAGAGTTCTATGCAATTGAAAAACAGAAAAATTGTAATGAAAATAGGAAGTGCTCATAAAACATTGTGAGCTTCCTACTTCTGGGGAAAGAGTGAAAAATAGTGGTAGTCACTAAAGTACTATATGGCTGCTCTCCCATTAGAGAGAGATGACTGCTGGTGTATTTAACCTGAGGCTCACCACAACTCAGGTAAGGGGCAAGTTCAAATATGTAGGATCTTAATGGTGTCTACAGCCAGTGTGAGAATTGAACCTACAATGTTGGTATCCCTCTACAAACCAGCCATCTAGCCAATTGAGCTAACTGACTCTTAAGAGTCCTAAAGAAAGTACATCACAAGTAAATGGAGTAATAGTGTGGTGATAAAAATTGAAGTTGCTGATAGAAGAAAAATCAGAGTTAACATTTCGGGTCCGGTGACCCTTCCTCAGAAATCCTCTGAATTTTTTTCTTCACAGATGCTGCCAGACCTGCTGAGCTTCCAGCAACTTTTGTTTTTGTTCCTGATTTACAGCATCCACAGTTCTTTCAGTTCTTAATAGTGTGGTGATGACTAGGTTAGTAATCAAAATATCAGATTAATGCTCGAGGAATATGGCATGGCAGCTACTGCAATTTATATTCAGTAACAATCTGGAGTTGAAAACTGGCCTTAGCAATCATGTTCCTGCATGTCCTTTAGGGAAGAAAATCAGCTGTCCTCACCCAGTCTGGCCTACATGTGACTCCAGATCCACAGCAATTATCTCTTAACTGCTCAGCTCTGAATTGGCCTCACAGACAAAGACAACTAGGATTGAGCAACAAATACTGGCCTTGGGAGCAACACCCACATCCCATCAAAGAATTAAAACAAAATAGCATTAATTATAACTTAGCTTTAAATAATCAGTACTGATGAATAATCTACGCTGAAAATGTTAAACATTAATTTCTGTTTACAAATACAACTGATCTGCTGCGTTTTCAGCCATTAATGTAATTTTAATTCAAGTTTTCTTGTTTTTCTTTTACTTTCAAGATAATTCAGAACAAAATGTGCAAGCCTGCAGTCATACTGCATTAGATGCAAAAGGAAAACATTGTGAGCATATCGCTGATGGTAACTTCGCACCTCATGCCTAGTTGTGTTTCAACTCAATTTGCACTCAAAATTACATTCTGCAATTCCCTTTGCTGCAAAGCTGACATTATTTTGCATTTATATGAACTGTATAGCTTAGCCATGGAATTGAACTTAGCACAGGTTTCCTTTTATGTACTAACTTCATTACATTTAAACAATTAGGCCACTACAGGAGTAAGCCCACTGCTCCCCAAGTGTGTTGCACCTAATTTACCACTAATTCGTGAGCTGCAGACATTCCCAGGCCTTCTTGGGCATATTGCTAATGAAAAACTTTTGAATCTGTCGCTACAGTACCATTGGCATTGGCCCTCAGACAAGGAAAGCAACATGGAAAGGACCTGACATGAGCAACAGAGTCAAGTAGGTGTTTGAAAGTAAATGGGAGG